TCAATTTTTTTAAATGGCATCCCCTATTTTTTATTACATATTCTTGTAGCTCACCTCGAGAGCTTTCCAAAACACTATAATAATCAAATGTTTCTTCATTGAATACTTTTCGAGTTATAAAGCTCCAAAATTGCAACTTTGGAGCTTTATAACTCAAAAAGTATTTTGTACTTGCGATGTAGACAATGGTCATTCTGTAAATAAACAAAATTATTTATTTGTTTATTTACAGAATAACTTATAATCTCTATATCGATTCCAATGAAACTTTACATAAATAATTGTCTTAAATATTTAAAATACCTGCATACACAAAAATTGAGATTTTTGTCATTAATTTTTAAATTGTAGTATTACAACAAAAAATAACAATAAATAAACTATAAAAATGTGTTGTGTTAAATAAAAATAGAATATTGTTCAAACAATTCAATTTATTTCTGCAAATTCAATTTATTTTCTGCAGGGATTATCAGTGCTGGATTTGAGGGAGGGCGGCCGCCTAAGGGTTCCCACAAATTGGGGGCCCTCATACGGAAAGAACGATTTTGCTGGATGGTTTAAAAATTTTTCTGAACACAGATCTGAAAATAATTTTGTTGGAAGTTCAAGCTGGTTGCCAGAATATCAAAATGTTTTACAGCAATGCTAATCATTTTTGAGTTTCCAACAAAATTATTTTCAGTTAAGTTGATCGCTTTGAGGATTCATGATCTATTTAAATGAGTTTTCAATGATTTTGATATCTTATAAATTAAAGGTGTCCACTGATTGGTAGAATCAGTGGACGCCTTTAGTTTATAAGATATCAAAATCATTGAAAACTCATTTAAATAGATCATGAATCCTCAAAGCGATCAACTTAACTAAAAATAATTTTGTTGGAAACTCAAAAATGCATTGCTGTAATTAGCATTGCTGTAAAACATTTTGATATTCTGGCAACCAGCTTGAACTTCCAACAAAATTATTTTCAGATGGGCGGGTAGCGCCCAGAGGCCTCCCACTTCTTTAAATCCGGCACTGGGGATTATAGGTATGATACATATATATTCTTAAATATTTTTACTAACAATAATTTATAGTATATAATTTTTGTTACAAGAACTATATAATTTATATTATTTCGAAAGCAAATATACGTGCAATGAGGATGAACAAGCTACTGTAATATTTGTTAGACATGCAGCATTTGCTCGGTGAGCAGACTAACTGCTTTTTTAACTTGAACCTGAACGTGTTCAATGCATGATATTGTAGTAATTCCCAGCGATGTTGCAATGTCATCTGCTATCCTTTCTCAAATCAAAAGAATGCCTAATATTTAAATATGCCTATTATTGGAGATTCAAATAAAAAAGGTAAAGTTTAAAATTCCTAAAAAGAAATATATATATCTTTTGAACGATAATCGTGCAACAAGATAAAATTACAAAAACATTCTTTTATAGAAAAACTGTAACATTAAATTGTCTTAAACAGTTTTTAAATATGTGCTTTTTAAATAAAAATACGAATTATTTATTTTATATATGTCAAAGCTAATTATTCTAATTAATATGTATAAAATCATTTATTATCAATCTTATATCGTACAGTCTGTTATACACTCGATAATATATTTATTTTCGTAAAACGTTTACGTTCTTTTGTTTTCTCTTGAAAATACACTGCGCACATGAATGAGTTCATATAAGAAATCTGATATCTAAGTTTTTATTATTTTTAATTGAATTTTTTAATCGTTTATCTTTATTTTTTTTTTTCTAAAGTCTGATAATATGACCTGTTTCATTAAAAATGCAGAAAATATGACACGTTTTATATATCATTTTATCAAAATGTTAATACGCAATGACGCAACATTCTCTGTGTCTATACTGATACGCAACAATGATTTCATGATACGCAATAAGTCTTTATATCTATCTTTATACAAAATTTATCAAAAGCGTACCCTCACAAAAATTTATATTGGAATTATAAGGGTTAGATAATTACTTATTTTGAATGTTAAAAGTATTAAACTGTTAATACTTTTAATACTCAAAATAAATAATTATTTAACCGTTCCATTTAGTAAGAATAGAAACCCCAAAAACAACTTAATTAATTAATTGTGCGAATAAAAATATTGGAAAACATATATCTGAATTAAACAATATGTGTGTATGATTTTCAAGAAAAAGTTAATAGTGAGAAAAGATCGTGCTGAAAAATATAGTTTTTTTGAAAACTCGAACATTGCACGTGTGTTTCACATGTCTTCTGATATTTTCATTTGGAAAATTATTTCAGGGATTTCTATACTTTTGGTAAAGAATGTATGTATGTACACGTAAACAGTGTAACAACAGAAGATCGTGCATTCTCAGCGCTTTCTTTTATTTCTACTATTTTGTATACCGTATTGAATCTTGACGTAGATTTTTGTAAGTGACTGTACATTTCTAAAGATATGGCAATGGTCGAGGTCTGTCCGTAACGGTACGCAGCAACTGCGATTGGGGACCGCGTCGCACCGCATTGTCCTGCGCCACTCATTCCTACGCCGCGATCTGTTTTCTCGGCTGCATCGATTTTTGCTTCGGAAGCAACAATTCGTGCCCGATTTGATCCCGAAAGACATTTTCAATCTCGAATTAACAAGTCGTGTTGCCAATACGCGAGAAATTCGTGGCGTCGGACGAATTTTTTGGTGTAAATGTGGGACTATTTCGCACATCCGAGCGGAAGGTTACACCTTAACGGCGACGGTTCAGGTATATAAGAGCCCCACCACGTACGCCGCGCGGCCATTGCGTGACTGTCCTCTCCAAACGGTGTGGCTGGATCTCGTCTGTATGCACGCCCCAAGCAACTGTCGCTGGCGACTTGGCTAGAATGATCGACTAAGGCGCGAGTTAGATACAGGTTGGTGTAACTCGATAATTAATCAATACTTAGTTGTACAATGGGGCGACCGGCTAGAATATTTCCTCGTTGGAGTGTATCGCAATTGTCGGCGGTAACGAGAGACATTCGCGATAATCGCGATCGACCGCGGGAAATCGAGATGGGCAAGCCAGGCCACACGGAGCAACTGACCAATTGGATCACCAACGTACGTCAGAAGAAGCTGAAGTGCCACAGGAGTCCGAAACGTGACTTCCGCATGGAGGCCGTGCTGGCGCACACCCTACACAAGGCGGAGTACGAGCTGCGGGCTAAGCAGCTGTTGAGGATAGCCCGTTGGCGACGGTTGAGAAAGCAGCTTCTCAAGGGCGTGGAGTACGGCAGCTGCGGCCAGTACAATGCCGCTGAACGGGAGTTCGAGAGGTGCAGCCAACATCCTGACTCGAGGGACGTCAATTTCTGGCGGGAAAACTTATGCGAGGACCTTAGCAGCATAATGGACTTCCTGCAACAGCTTAGCCAAGTGAAATCGCCCGTGCAGCGGTGATTAGGCTTGGAAGATAGGAAGCTTCGTTTCCTCCTATCGTTGAAACATGTATCTGTAGATATCTACAGTAGCAAAAGGCTCTCTTCGGTTCAAGTTTTTATTCGAGTGAAGGAAGCTACGTCAGCAAATGCTTTTGCCGTATTAACTCCTAATAGTGCACTTAATCAACTGCAGCGCACTATACAGTGAATATATGATCCACGGGTGATGCGTCGATATTTCTGTCAACTGCTTTATTTTCTCTCGCTCAGGCAAAACGGGAAATGTTTGACTCGTGGAATCTACTCTGGGCGGAGTCTACGTTCTAATATCGGCGACCTCGACATATTCAGAAGATTGGCCAAATAGTCCTGCAGTGTTGCGGCAATCTTTGCAGTCTCATCGTTACCCTGGTATATATCTGGGTATTTTTTACTTGCAGTCTCACCGTTTGAGATGGCGGATGCGGGTGGAAAGAAAGGGATAGAGAGAAAGAAAGAGAGAGAGAAAGGGTTGCTGTAAAGCAGGTGCAGGCGATACCTTGGGATTTCGTACGCGCATACACATACACACATCAGCCCTCCTGCCTGTCGTCGATTTGGTTTGTAAACTGTATCGAAACCAAAGTACTTTTACTACTTAGAGTTTGTTTGCTATAATATATTTAACATGTGTATATACTTAAAGCAAAATATTCTTAAAAAACGTAAAGGAGGAAAAATTTTCATATTGTTTTAGAAGTACTTTCAAGTTCCTTAAATCTGTAAAATAAATATATTATAAGACTGCCTTGCATTGTGATAATAATTCTATCAGTGTGTAGCATTTAAACTTTTCTTGATCCTGAACATTATAATAAGCAATTAACAGTAAAATTATAATAAATAATTTTCAGAAAGCTGTAAAACATTTTTATCTTTTTAAATTGTAAATTGCAACATTTTATGTATCAACTTTCACTAATTATCAAGGTTCTCAACATTGACGGATCTATCTCTCTCTCGCATATTTCTAAGATGCTTTATTCTGTTTAGGATCAAGATAACAAAAACAAAGGATCTCAATTATTATTGTAAGACATTGTGATACTTTTAATTTTGTATTAAATAATTTGTAAATAACAAAACTGTGATACAGATTAAACGAGAAGATAAAGTGAGACGTTCTGAGAGGAGTGTAAGATAAATAAATACATTTTTTGCAAGTAACAATATAGAACTATTCCTTGTCAACTTCTCTATTCACCAACTTATTAATGCCGTCAATCCTTTTCAGTCTGGCACATAGACATCATAGAAAATACACCTTATCGCGAACAAAGGGCCATGGCTGCCAATATGGACGACGTCGTCGTCGTCATCGGCTTAGAAAACGTACCTATAAGATTGCAGTAAGCGAAAGAACCATAAGGGAGTATTATCTGCGTTTTGAGTGAGAGGGAAGAAGAAAGGTCTGTTTCTAGAGGCTGGTCGAATCGACGCACAAGCAAACGTTATCTTCTGCACGAATCGTCACAATACCGAGCTCATGTGTGTTTGGTAACTACGGACAATGAGAAACGACTTTCATGCAGTGAGTCTTCATTCCCCTCCGAAAATCGATCGTTTTCTCAAGTCCGAAACAAGTTCGTTCTCGTTGAGTAACATAGGATAATGATGCGGAAAACCGTACCCTAAGGTTGCAGGTATACTTCAAGTAAGGTAACTCGTCATGCAAGCATGCGAATAACCTATTTGAGTTGCCGAAAGTTTCTCCTCTTTGTTGCCACGTATATACGCTTGTCCTGGCGTTGCCATAATAATGTGTTCATAGATCTACGCAACCTTCGGCCACGCCGAGACCACGACCAGGATAGGATGCGTGTTTTAGATGTTTGGAGAGGGAGATTTGAGAGCTACCGGAGACTTAAGCAAGTGAAGGATACGAAAAATTATCAATGTAAAGAAAGTATACGCGCAAGGATACATTGTATATGAGAAGTGGAAGATGTTAGGTTTTCTCGACTCGGTAACATTGGTTTCATCTGAAAGTAGGGATATTGAATTTTATTTATTTTCTAATAGACGATAATATGCATCTTAATATCTTTTTGGAAACGTAATATCCAATTAATTATGAGAAATCTGGATATTCGAGGATCTAAGAACTTATCGAAGGAAATCGATCTTGGAACTGTGAGGAATCCACGTGCACGTGCGAAAATCTTTATTATCCCAAGCTTTCAGAATAAAGTCTAGGGTATTGAGAAAGAAACTTGGTATTTTCCCAATCTTAGCCGATCACTCTAAGGATCTTAAGTCTACTAAGAAATGAACTGAGGCACACACGAAGAAGGAAAAATCATACATAAAATGAAACAAAGAGATACTGTTATATATAAAAGGGCGCACAACAAATAGGAGCACTATATCAATACCAATTGAACGGAACTTTCTATTAACTTGGTGAAGCTAGTTAAGTGGATATATGTATATATTTCGACTTTTTATCAAATTGTTTATTTGATAATTATAAGTGTATTACATAGTAAACTAGACAACTCAGTTTGTGGTGATGCAGTATGAAGTATTTGTATGGTAACAAATATCGAATTTTTTTTCTTGACAATATCATTTTCTACAGAAACATTCTTTATAGAGATGAAAAGGGACAAATATAAAATAGGCGGGGGGGGAGGGGTGCAAATGAGAAATCTTTTTGATTGACAGAAAGCTGTGTATGTTCGGAAGATCTCTCGTCCCATTCGACCCGCTGGACCTGTGAGGAATATGGTTTAAGTTGTTCAAGATTATACTTGGTGTACCCATGTAAAATGCAGTCTATTGAACGTGACCATCGTGGAGGTTTGATTTGATGGACGGCTTGAAAGAGAGAATGAGAATGAGTGAATTTTCCAGCGTAACTAGCTATCGTTCTTTATCTCATAATCCCTATGTCATATTCGTAATATATCTACATGTTGCATTTTGCTTTGCTCGGTTCTCTTTATGTTTTACATAGCAGGCAGCAGAACGAAAGAGCTGTAAGATATAAGCCTTTCATAGATTAGAGAAACGGCCCCGACGTATTACTGTCTACACATCTAATTCGACAACCTAAGACATTGGTCCGTGATCATCGGAAGGTACCGTTGGATTTGCGTGTTGCGTGAAAACGACAAAGGTAACGAGAGATCATTATAACAGACGATCCATTGTTGATCTTTGATCCTTGTACCTTGCGAATGCAAATATTGGAAGGGGAGGGGAAGCGGGGCAAAACATATGTTTTTATGAGTCATAGGAAGATGCTGTTCTACACAAAGGCGATAAAGGAAAATGCGCTTGGATGGTGTTTTGAGATGGCACAAGATTACTAGATAAAATCGCTGGTCACATACTGATGTGTTAATACGCTGATGTCCCCTACTTTGATTAGTTTGGCAAGATGTAATCTCATCTGAATCCGCAACGAAAGTTCGCACTAGACTTCTGCAAGGATACATTGAGTTCATGGACCTTTGAAAATCTCGGATGAATTAAGTTTAAGAATGGCAGCCAATAATCGAAGAGCTAAGAATAGAAAGCTTCAAGAATTTAAGAACTTGAGAATTTACTTTCGGAATTCAAAAATCTATAGATATCTAAGAATCTAAAATTAGTTTTGGATAATATTTCCTTTTCAGATCGCTTTGTTTTTATCATTAATTTAATTAGAACGGAATTGTTTTATCGTAATTTGGATATAACTTCAAAATTTTTATTTTGTAGAAGAAATCGTAATAATATATTTATCTATTATGGAACAATCTTATATCTAAAGAATGAAGGTACTTTGCGAAAAATCTATATAAAATAATCTGAAATTTTTTAACTCGAAAAGAAGAAAAGATTTGACTCCCATATATACACACATACATATATTGTTTTTCGAAGGTATTGATTTCAAAAGTACTTGAAAGAGAAAAAGAGGTATATAATGTTTTATTACAATAATTCGAATAATTTATTACAATTTATCAGAATTCATTGATTGTCAATATGTAGGTCTCTTAATCTTTTAGTTAGATCTTCTATGAGAGGTATATAATGGTGGCAAATACCACTAATAGGGAGGGAGAAATAAAATATTACTTTGTTTTTCCACAGAAAGCAGTCATTCGAATTACAACATTCGTTACATCCAAAATGTATTTTAGTCATGGAATGAGTAGGATGCAGGTTCGATCATTTAAGACACAAATGGTTCACAATGAGATCATACCATATTTCTAAGGAAACAAGGAAATAATATGAAAATTGATATACTAGTTGGAAAGAGGATATAGTGAAAAGATTAAGGTTCAACTTTCGACGGAGTTCTTAGCAAGTTATGTCGCCGAGATAGATTTAGGTTTTGCAACAGAGCGAGATTAAAAGATATAATTTTCTCGAAAAGGATGAGAATTACACAAAGTTTGATATAAATTATGTGGACTCGTGCGGACCGAATATGTAGACTTTGGGCTTTAATAGAATTAATTAGGAAGAAGATGAGATAATTGATGATATAATTAAGAGGAAGATGATAATAGCATGATTCGATAAAATGCAATAGCTTATTAAGAAAAAATGGAGTAGAACAGTAACACAGGTAAGCAAAAGCTGCAAGATTTTAGGTTCCAGGTAATGATTTTTAGAAAAGACCTTTTGCGGTCGTGCTTTTTTAATCGCTTAAATACCAAGCTGAGAAATTAACGTTAATTTTTTTTAGCAATTAATTATTGAGCGTTGAAAAATTAGCATTAATACTGGCTTTCAAAAAGATTTCTTAAATCTCATTATGAGATATTTAATTCTAATTTTACAAAAAACATTTACAAAAATTTACAAAGATAATTGAAAATGAGGTGAAAACTAATTTTATATCCATTTTAGATTAAATTTGTTGAATTAGATCAAATCACTAACTATAACAGATACCTCAAAATTCAAATTGATTTCAATTCCAGCATACTAGTACATTTGTTATATTTGCGTTTAGTAAATATGCAGACTCATATCTTAAGACGTTTTAATAAGGTATATTTATGTTTTTCTTTTTTCCATATTTTATAAATATACATTTAAGAATATTGGAAGAGAGTGATGCCTATATACAAGGTAGTCGCGTTTTAAAAATGGAACTGAATGGAACTTGCATTTGAACGAAGCGATGACTTGCACTTCCGTTCCTCAGTGTCATCATGAACAGTCTTACATTTCTTTTTTGTACCCTGAAGAAGCTTGATTCCATTTTCTCTCTCGCTTATGAGATTTTATTGCAGTCGACCAAAGAGGCATCTTGGATGTGTGTTATCCGTCTCTCTAAAACTTTGCCTACTAACGGAGTGTTTTAGAGAGGCACAAAAGTGCTCAACCAAGTCATAATCATCGGCCTTTCAAATTCGACGCTGGTCTCCAAACACTTGCTCGACTGCGTGAGCGTGTGAGTTTTGGTTCTCGATTCTTGTCGTTGGCTGTCTTTGAGATCTTAAAAGGGTGTTCTCTTCTGGACATACGAGGCTTCCATTTATTCATCGTCTGTGAGATTCTTCAACAACTAGGATTTCGTCAAAAAATCATCGTGGATCTTCAATGTAAAATAGAATCGTCGAAACTTGCAAGGGGATGGTTTTTTCAACATTCACACACCGATATGAAATATGCAGAGTTCCAGCAAAACGGCAAATCCTTCTTCCTAAAAAAAGTAAGAAATTTTATTTATATTTAATTAGATTTAAATATTCGTTTCATCAAAAAATTTATTGAAAAAGTTCACGTTTCTTATATTTTTTTACAGATTTATTTTACCAAATGCTGTGAAAAATCGCCTATTGTTAAAGAAATATTAGATGCTGAGAAAACTTGTAATAGGAAAATGGAGCATCATAGAGAATCATAGAACTTTATGGAACTTTGTCGTGAAAGAAGATTTTATCGCGGAATTTCATCGCAGAAGAGAATCGTCGCAGACCTTCATCGTAGAATAGGATTATCGCGAATCTTTGTCGCAGAAGAGGATCATCGCGGACCTTCATCGTAGAAGAGGATTATCGCGGACCTCTGTCGCAGAAGAGGATTATTGAGGACCTTCGTCGTAGAAGAGGATCATCGCGGACCTTTGTCGTTGAAGAGGATCATCGCGGACTATCGTTGCAGAAGAGGATCACCGCGAACCTTCGTCGCAGAAGAGGATTATCGCGAACCTTTGTCGCAGAAGAGGATCATCGCGGACCATCGTCGCAGAAGAGGATCACCGCGGACCTTCGTCGCAGAAGAGGATCTTCACGGACTTTTGTCGCAGAAGAGGATCACCGCGGACGTTCGTCGCAGAAGAGGATCGTCACGGACTTTTGTCGCAGAAGAAGATCATCGCGGACCATCGTCGCAGAATAGGATTATTGCGGACCTTCGTCGCAGAAGAGGATCATCGCGGACCATCGTCGCAGAATAGGATTATTGCGGACCTTCGTCGCAGAAGAGGATCATCACGGATCTTTGTCACAGAAGAGGATCATCGCGGACCTTCGTCGCAGAAGAGGATCATCGTGGACCTTCGTCGCAGAAGAGGATCATCGCGGACCTTCGTCGCAAAAGAGGATCATCGCGGACCATTGTCGCAGAAGAGGATCACCGCGGACCTTCGTCGCAGAATAGGATTATTGCGGACCTTCGTCGCAGAAGAGGATCATCGCGGATCTTTGTCACAGAAGAGGATCATCGTGGACCTTTGTCGCAGAAGAGGATCATCGCGGATCTTCGTCGTAGAAGAGGATCATCGAGGACCTTCATCGCAGAAGAGGATCATCGCGGACCTTCGTCGCAGAAGAGGATCATCGTGGATCTTTGTCGCAGAAAAGGATCATCGCGGTTCTTCATCGCAGAAGAGGATCGTCGCGGATTTTCGTCGCAGAAGAGGATCGTCGCGGATTTTCGTCGCAGAAGAGGATCATCGTGGAACTTCGTCGCAGGACAAGATTATCGCGGAACTTTGTTATCATAGGATTTTGTTGGAGAATAAAATCATCATAGAATTTCATTACTGAAGACTATCATCACAGGACTATCATCATGTCATTTTGTAGGATTATCGTAAAACTTTGTTAAAGAAAAGAATTATTTTAAAGATTATTACAAGACTTTGTTATGTAAGAGAATTGTATCATGAAACTCGCAGAGGATCCCGGGATTTCATCGCAGAAAAGGATTATTGCAAAACTCTGTTGCAGAAGAGGTACTTTATTACAAAAAAAATTAATGTGGGATTTTACTGTAGAAGAGGAGCATTATTACAAAATTTTGTCGCAGAAAAGTAATCATGGAACTCCGTCGTAGAAGAGATCACAAAAGTCCATTACAAAAAAAATCATGAAATTTCATCGCACAAGAGGATTTTTATCATCGAATTTCATCACGGAAGAGCTAGAAGAGAATCATCACGGAAGTCCATCACAAAAAAAATCATGAAACTTCGTCGCATAAGAGAGTTTTTATCATCGAATTCCATTACGGAAGAGTTAGAATTATCATGGAAATCATCACAGAAGATTATTGTGAAACTTCATCACAGAATATGACTTATGAGGCTTTGTCACAAAAGAGTTGACTTCATTGTAGATAAAGATCGTTGTGAGATTGCGCTATAAACGAGGATCTTGTTAATAGTTATCACAAAGAAAATTATTGCCAAATTGATCACACAATTATGTCATATGTGATATACTATTTATATCATGTATAAATTATTAGATATTCGTTTTTTTTAAATAAAATTATCTGATATTTTATTGTAAAATAAGATCATGATGTGAGAAACTTCGGCTTAGAAGAAAATACAAAACTACGTCATAGGCGAGAATCAATGAGAGTTTTGAAAAAAAGGATTATCTTGAACATATATCACAGAAGAAATCATCGTAGAAAAACTTGCAAAAAAGAATTGTCCGACTTCGTAAAAAATTGTCAAAGAGTTTATATACATAGAGTAGAAGAGACCTAGTGGCGCCTTTGACTGGAACCGTGAGCTGACAGAAAGAGAAAGAAAATGGTAGAGTGAAGGGTACATCCATCTTTTATC